AGACATTATGTTTGTTTTGCCATAACTCTGCAAGCATATCATGCTATAAATCGTGTTTAGTATATAGTTTGTTGTTATCTTATCCCCTCTTTGCTGATGCCAAAAAGGGGGAGAAAGGATATGTATATTCGTGCAGGTACATCCATTGCAGGGGAAGTCAACTATAGATACTACAGGAGAAGCTGACTAAAAGAAGTCCCAACGACATCTCTTTAGGGGCAGTCAGAGATCCTGCAGAAGAAGTCGACTAAAGGAAGCACCTGTTGAGGGGGAGTCAACTGCACTCAATGAGGGGGAGTAAAATACATGGAAGTCAATTGATGTTTACATATATTATTTTGTCATCATCAAAAAGGGAGAGATTGTTAGGTTTTAGTTTTAATGATGAAAAATAATATAATTTCTTGTGGTATAGGGACTCAAGGAAAGCATCTAAGATCGAAGAAATCAAAAGGAAGGAATAAATCAACCAACTAAAGATCCGGCAAGGAAATCAATCAGAGATTGATTGAAGCGGAAGAGAAGCATCGAAGATATTGCAAGATGATCAATCAAGCTGCTATTTCTGGAAGAACCAAAAATCAAGGAGTAAACCCGGCGCTATCAAGACCTGTAGAAGGAAAGCTTATTAAAGTCCTCTCATCAAGGAAGAGTAACGGCAAATAACTTTATTCTTGGAAAGAATCAATTTCTTTCCAACGATCAAATCTCTTGGGTTGTCAAATCTCTTCAGCGACGGCCTCCTACAAAGTATTTATACACATCCTTAAGCCTTAGATAAACATACTTTGATCGAATCAAATACCCTCTCTTTGTTCTACTGCAAACAAATATTGTAGCTCTACTAGATCTGCTGTGTAACAAGTTAGAGAAGAAAGAGAGAAAAATACTGGTGAGGCATTGTATAAAAAAGAAACGAGTGACATAGAAACTGAGCCATTGGTGTAAACCACACCATTCACGTTGTACCCGAGAAACTTATTCACTAAAAGAGAACTCCCTTGCAACCTAAGGGACTGGAATAGGATTCACATTGAATCTGAACCAGCATACAAATTTCGGTGTCTTTAATTCCTGCACTTTATTTTTGCATCTTAAATTCTGCTCTTACTATTATCTCGTTATTACATCTAGTCGACAAATTAGAAAAATAGTCAACTTGTAGAGATTAAAATATAAAAATAAACAATTCACCCCCCCCCCCCCTTCCTTGTACTTTCGATACCCAACTGTCTGCCAAGTATTGTATAACTGTGTTCAAAATCAGAAAATCAGGAAGCAAAGAAACGTTAGTTCAATCAACAAAACATAAAATAATTTCCGAGTCCGCAAGTTGTTTGTGTGTCCTTAAGGAATTTAATCTCTTCATTGTTGCCCAAGGTTATGGATTACTTCCTCCCAGGATAAAATGGATAAAACTATTCTGTAATACTGGCAATCAAAATTACAGAACTTCAGCGAACTCAAAAAACGGATCATATCACACTTAACACTTTGTTTATTTGAAAAATAATGTTACAATGTAGGAAAAAAAAAAAGGAAGATTTCCATGTGTTAAAAATGAAGGTAAGCCTCTAAATTTATATGCAATGAAAGAGTGAGATGAAGATGTGCAATTCAAAAGGTGCCTCTTCCATTTTTCATTCACACATCTGTTCACGACACCAAGTACATCAGGCAACCCTTTTGTATTTCCCTGGTAGGGGCGTTCGTAAAAATCCGAAAAATCAAACCAAACCGATTAAAAAAACTGATACTTTATAGGTTTGGTCTGGTTTTGGTTTTGAATTTAAAAACCGATGAAATTGGTATGGTTTTGGTTTTAATCAAAAAATAACCAAATAAACCCGAACCAAACCGACTATATATCTATATATATATATATATATATATATATATATATATATATATATATATATATATATATATATATATATATATATATATAAAGTTTCTAAAATTTTATGGTACATATTAGTCATTTGTATTTTTAGTCTAGTTCTTTGCTATTATAATAATCTAATTCTTTGCTTTTACATTCTAGTTTGATTGATTGTTTTCTTTTGCTAAGTACAAAAATTTATTCATGTTAAAATTAATCGATTTTTAATTGAGTACTTAAATTGTTCATCACTGTTTGATTCAATTATCATCAATATATCTTGGTAAATGATAGATTTCTCAAGCAGCAATTGATTTGATGGTGTTACATTGAAAATGTAGTCGCTAGAATATGCACTTGGTAATATAACGACCCATCACGAGGTCGCTTCCCTAGACTGTGAAAGTACAAGAGGGGGAGAGGGTGAATTGTAGCCTTTTTAAATTTCTAATCGACTACTCTTCAGGCCTAGTCGACTTATGCGGAGACAGCCTGCACAGAACTGTTAGTTCTTTCGATTTAAACAAGTATTAATTACAATAAACAGTAAATTGTTCCAGAACTGCACAATAAAAATTGTTCCATGCCATTCAAGTAATCTGGTAATGCCCTATTCCTATGAAGTATCCAACTTTTATCCATCATATAATAACCTACAAAATATAAAATATTAATTGTCCCTCAATTTTTTGTTGTCAATTTAGCAAAAAAATAAATAAGGAAAAGGTCAGAGAAAGACTCTATACTAAAATACAGTAAAAATAACAGCATATAAATTGAACGAATAGTGATACAAGCGAAGGAACACACTATAGATAAATAGTAATCAGCAAGACTCACCAGACTTTGTAGACGAGAAATAATGAAGCAAAGAATAGATCAGAACCAATTGCTCAGAGCTGTAGAATAATAAAGGAGAAAACCTTGCTAGAATGGTAACTGAAATAGGCTAAGGATTAAGGAAAAAATAATTAAAAGGAAGAAACTGGTTTGCTGCTTTTCTTTGGGCGGAAAGTTGAAATATACTAAGCTAAATCTTAGGCCACTAACCAAACCTGTTGAGAAAATTAAGGCGTGAACAGAACTTGTTGAGACAATTAAGAGTTCTACCAAATATGAATTATTGCTAATTTATTATATTTTAAAACAACTATGTTTTCAAATAAAATATGGCAGCAACAAAAAACTTACCCAAAGCAACTAAAATAGTGGGCTAAAAATCCGAAAAAAGTGATTAACAAGAGAAAATTTTGGCGCGTTTGATTTTGGCGGAAAACTGGAAAATAATTAGCTAAGTTTAGGCCACAACCCACCTATTTTGTAGGCAAAAATAAAGTATATTGCCAACAATACAAAATTTACTGTTGCCAATATCAAAGCAAAATCTCATTAATTTATTTTAAGCCATATTTACATCTGCAACTAATGAGGAAATCAGAGAACTAAATTTCAGCTGCTATTCCAGAAAAATTGATGAAATACGTACCTTTTTGCGGCGAGCGGGGTCAATGTTTATATCGAAGCTCCTTTTCTTTCAATTTTTGCCAAAATCTTCCTCTAGTTCTCTTTAAAAATTTCAAATTCATGGTTGATGAATTAGCTGGATTCGTCTTTGACGAAAAAGAATTTTGAAAGAGTAATGGTGTCATCAAATTGGAGAATGTTGGGGAGTAGTCTTTGAAGCAGAAAGCAATTGACATTACAATTACAAAAAGAAACAGAGAGCAATTTGAGAACAGTGTCAAAGATAGGATTCTTGGTAGCTCCGTCAGTGTCGGTGGCCAAAATGAAAGGGCAATGCTATTACACGTAGCAAATTAAAATGTGAAGGAATTGGATAAAGCCAAGTACACAGTACAATTCGCATTGCTTTTGGTACAACTCTTCAATGCAGTGGTTGGTAACAATGAATCAGACGTTGCTAAAAGTTCTATGATAATAGCAACAATTTTTTAAAGTTGTTGTCACTTATTACAATAAGCCAACAACACTGTGATTGTTGCAAAAAATTGTTGCCAATTTTTTTAATTTAAAATTAATTATCCAGATAATAGAATATAGCAACAATATCATAATATTTGCTAACAAGAAAAATTTTGTGGTTAAAAATTATATGATTTAGCAACAACTTTATGAGGTTGTTGCTATTTGTTCATTTTTGCCAACAATACTATAGTTGTTGCTAAAAAATTATTGCAAATTCCATACTTTCTTGTAGTGAGGAACAGAATATAATACGAGAGCGATAAAGTAAATGACACCAGAAATTTTATACTGGTCCGGAACCAATGTGGTATCCTAATCCAGTCCTCTTGGGTTGCAAGAGTGTTATCTTTTAGAGCTCTTTGTAAATTGAATTGAGTACAACCTTTGTGATTTTCAGTGATCACCACCAACGCTGACAGGGTTGGTTTTCACTCGCTCACCAACAACGACCCTTTGGTTTTCACTCGCTCACCAAAGAAACGGACAGTGATACAACCTCTAGGACACACTGCCTCTGCAATATTTTTCTGTCTCTCTTCTCTCTTTTGGGTACACAGTAAATCTACTAAAGTGAATTACGATGCTTGTTAAGAGTAGAATAAAGAACATATAGTTGGATAGACAACTGTATAGAAGGCTGCGTGCTTTTCTTCTTTCTTAGAAGTGCCTATTTATATTCTTTTCAACTTGTTCTGGCTATTTCATGACCCAAGAAAATTTTGAATATTTTCGCGATCTTCGTTGCGTCCATAATTTCCTTGAATCATGGAGTAATATCTGTTTCCATATCTATTCTTGATATAAATTTGGTTACGCCATGAGATTCTCCTTCGAACCAATATGATTTGTGGCTTTTTGTCCAAGGTTAGATAGCTTCTTATTAACTTGGACAGAATATAGTCTTTGTCTTGCTTCTTTCCTTGTGGGTTTCTCCTTAATTGCAGGACGTGAAACCTTGAAGCTAACAGACTGCTTGTGCCTTCCTTTGCTCCTTGTACCACTTAACTTTAATATAATATAATTAGTCATCTTTTGAACCCAAAAAAGAAAGATTATTGGAAAAAAGCCGTCACAAATTTGTTTCTTTTTTCAGATTAGCGGCTTCCTATGAAGTCGTTGAGCACTCAAAAGTCAAAGTCGTCGTCAGAAAAATTCAGATCCATTGACTAAAGAATAGAGTATACTTGGAGTCAGGGACAATGAAATAGAGTTCTCACTTTCTCAAAGCAAACAGACACTTCCTTCAGTGTCTGAACTTAGATACTAAAGAAAACACAACACAACATTCTTTCCTACTTAACTAACTAACGAGGTTTCTCACTCTTGTCAAATTAAGACACTGTTCATCAGCTCTGTGCAATGCTCTCCACTGTCCGACCCCTCCTCATTTTCATCATCTGCTCTTGTTTCCTCATATGCCTGACTCTTGCCAAGGTACAATCTTGAAACTCTTTGAAATAAGATTGAACAATTGGAATTGCATCTATTAGCTTTTCAAATTTTATGGATTTTCCTATGTGGGTTCACTTAAAAAAGATAAATTTTGAAAAGCTAATGCAATAAAGATAATTTATTGATCATTTGACTAAAATAGGTCCAAATGAAGTAGAATGGATATAGAGGATTTATATAGTCAATCAGTAACTAACTAGTCTTATATTGTGGCATAGTTGATGCATGCTAATTTGCATAATATATTGTGTTAATAAATGAAACTAATCAAGGAGTCAACCAAAATTTTGAACCATACATCTTGTTTCACCACTGCTCACCATGATGAATCTTGGTGTAACTTTTAGAACCTAATGACTCAGTCTTAATTTAGTCTAAGCACCAGGATTAATTGTGCATTTAACAATTATAAGAATCTGGCTTATGAATTATCTAATGGATGTGCTGTTTGCTGCAGCATCAAAAAGATGTTCCTGTCACTCTATGGGTAAACAAGGCTGCACCATATAATAATCCACAAGAGACCTACAGTTATTATAGCCTTCCATTTTGTCGTCCTACTGATGGTGATCACAAGCGGGGTAGCCTCGGCGAGGTTCTTGGAGGAAATGATCTTATTGATAGCCGAATTGACATAAAGTTTAAAAGTCTGTTCTTCAAATTTTACGATGGAGCTTTATACTTTGAAACACTTCCTTTTACAATTAGCCATTTTTTGTTCAACAGGAAATGTGGAGAAAAGCTCAATTTGTGAACTTAAGTTGGATGCATCAAAAGTGGCACAGTTTAAATATGCAATTGACAATTTGTATTGGTTTGAATTTTTTATGGGTACTGACATTTCTCCATGATACTGTGACTTCTTTTCAACAGTTATATGCATGCCTGAAGTGTACTAATTCTAAACTTCTCTCTCTTTGTAACGTATGTTACTTCCTGGCTTCAGATGATTTGCCAATATGGGGTATGTTCTTAGCTAGTTTATCTCTAATGTTTCTGATTACCATGGACAGTTATAACATAAATAAACACTCACTTGGTATCAGGTTTCGTGGGCGAGGTGCATCCTGACAGAAATCAAGATATCAAGCATGTAATCTATACACACAAGAATCTTCTTATTAAGTACAATGGAGACCAGGTAGGCAATTTGTTTTTATTTCTTAATGCCTTGTGGCATGTCAATGATCTGCAATTTTGTGTTGATAATCTAACTCTAATCTAAGTCCTATAGATCATTTTTGTCCAACTGTATCAAGAGAGCCCAAAGCCATTGGAGGAAGGAAGGGTCTTGGACATGACATATTCTGTTAAATGGGTCCCGACAAACGTTACTTATGCACGACGTTTTGATGTTTACCTTAATTTCACCTTTTTTGAGAACCAGGTACATGCCAATCTACTAGCATATATCTTTTTTAGGTACTTTAGTGAAGCTTTATTGATCAGAAATCTATAAATATGATTATGCTTTAACAACATTGAATATTTTAATGGCATTATTTATCGATAATATGCTAGCTTGTGGTACCATAAGTATCAGTACCATGCACTTGCTGACTTGGATAATGGTTTTTTCATGGAAGAATTAGATTAAAGCAACAAAATAACTGCGGCAGCAGTTACTGCAGTTTTATGCTCTATCAACTTATGGAACCAATGGAGGTCTGGACCACAAGAAGTAGCTATGTTGTGAACTGAAAATGTATCTAGAGGAGAAATCCATATTCCCTTCTATTAGTTTTTTTTAAACATGTTTGGAGAGACTGAGGCGTAGTAGTAGTAGTAGCAGTAGTTGTTAAAAGAGATACCTTCGGCAACAAAAGTATTTCTGCATATAAATGTCACACACCTACTTCCTTTTGGCTTTCAATGTGGCAAATGAGTTTTTTTTCAAAACTTAGTAATCTTTCAGGTTCTCATTGAAGCAAAACACTAAGGAGAAAGCAGATAAAAAGCTTAGGCAGTTAGTCCCCATTAACTCCACATAGCTCTTCGTGTTCTCAGCTCCTAAAACGTCTTGTTTCTTTTGCAGATTCATTGGTTCTCTGTTTTCAATTCCATGATGATGGTTATTTTCCTCACTGGGTTGGTGTCTATGATTTTGATGCGCACTCTTCGCAATGATTACGCAAAATATGCTCGTGAAAATGATGACATGGAGACTTTGGTAAAGCTTTTTTTTCTTCTCATTAATCACGTATTTGCATGAACCTATATGTCCAATGCAGTGGCGTAGCCACATACAGTGAAGGGTGTTCTGTTGAACACTCTTCATCGGAAAATTATACTAGAAAATTATATTATATGTATAGGTTAAAAATTACTTCTTATAAATATATATTAAACCTTGAACACCCTTTGTAAATTTCTAGCTTCGCCACCAGTCCAATGGCATATCCTTACTAGAAAATTACTAATTTCTGGTGTTTGGTTGGTTGACTTCTTATATAGGAAAAGGATGTACATGAAGAGTCTGGTTGGAAACTCGTCCATGGTGATGTCTTCCGACCTCCAGAAAATTTGGCTCTGCTTTCAGCAGTTGTCGGGACTGGTGCTCAGCTTGCAACACTGTGTTCTCCTTGTCATTATATCTGCCATGATTGGAAATTTGTACATAGGGTATGCTTGCAATCTGTGGTACTCATTCATACAAACCAGATCTGAAAATTGTGGTTCTAGAGAGTAGAGACTGCATTTCTTCCGTTTTTTTAACCGTTAGGTTTTCTGACACTCAGTAACCAAATGATCTTCATCCCCTTATATGAATCAGTCCAACTATGTGTTCTTAGTAATCAATTATGTTGATCATCTTCTACTTGAATACCAACTACTACTCCATAGGGATTTCCAAGTGAGTTAAATTAAAATAGCCCGGTGTGTCCTATATATTGACTATATGATCAGCACTACTGCATTTATAATGCTTCTTATTTATTTCTTATGCTCTTAGGAGAGGAGCAATTATTACAACATTTATTGTATGTTATGCTCTTACATCATTCATCTCAGGATATGTGAGTGGTGGCCTGTACTCTCGTAATGCCGGTATGTGCTCTTCTGCCTTATGTCTATAAGTTGTTTCCTTGTGTAGGAGAGATTAACATAATCAAATTTATGTGTTTAACATATGGATCATTTATCAATTGAAGGGTTTTCTTCTTTGAATCTTTTCAGGTGAAAATTGGATAAAGTCAATGGTCCTTACAGCATCACTTTTCCCCTTTTTGTGCTTTGGGGTTGGGTTCATCGTAAACACAATTGCCATATTTTACGGATCCTTAGTTGCTGTTCCCTTTGGCACAATCGTAGTTGTCTTTGTTATTTGGGATTTTATTTCGTTGCCCCTGACTCTTCTTGGTACTGTTGTTGGAAGAAACTGGAGTGGTGCGCCAAACAATCCATGCCGTGTTAAGACTATCCCTCGTCCTATCCCTGAGAAGCAATGGTACCTTAAACCATCTGTAATTTCTATGGTGGGAGGTCTTCTTCCCTTTGGAAGCATTTTTATTGAGATGTATTTCATCTTCTCTTCCTTCTGGACCTACGCGGTAATTATTCTTTTTGGTATATCTAGAAAAACATGTCATGATATACTTCTCGCGTGCTGCTTGTTCCTGGCATCTTTTTAGCAATATTTACACTCGTTTGTTTTACTGCTAGATCCCTCAACTTTCGGAACTTCCAAGTAACAGGATGTTATAAAATATTCATTTATTGAGAACCTTTTTTTTGGCATGAATAATACATGCTTATAATCCTGGCCAAGGTGTTACCATTTGGGATAGGCATATAATATCGAAGAGCTTATTGTTTTAAAGCCTGTCATAGTTGATACATCTTCATTCATATTTGTAATTGATGGAATCTTTTGAAGGATGTCATCTTCTGTAAGTAGTTTGCAGAATCATCTCACTTTATCTCATTTTGTTCGTAGAAGTAACAGTATACGTGTAAGTACTTGTCTTTAATTTGCTCGCTCTCTATGCAGTTCTGTTCTATATACATATTTCTGACACACCGATATGTGAATAACACTTTTCAAAAATGCAAGACATAACTGCGTGCAGGGACACAGACTAACCTAGATGTGAAAAGACACAAGAAAAATATAGTAAGAAGCATGACACAAATGCAAAGAGATCTTAGAGATGCATTAACGAGTAGTCGTTTAGTTTGATTCTTTAGTAATAAGTGCTTTATCTTCCATCTTTACTAATTTCTTCTTTCTTAGTAATTTGAGTCCATATGTGAAAATTTCGGGACGTGGTCACTTGTGCATAGATGTGGTTAATCTTTTCTCGACATTGCTGGAGATTCTGAAGCATTCATCTACTTATATTTCTGTGGTGTAGCTATATTTTAGTTGAAATGTCTTTTCGATTTGTAATTCCACTTACAACCTTGATGATATTCTCAACAGGTGTACTACCATGTGTATGGATTTATGCTCCTCGTTTTCATTATTCTGATCATCGTCACTGTTTGCGTGACAATTGTGGCAACATATTTCTTGCTGAACGCGGAGAACTATCATTGGCAGTGGACTTCATTCTTCTCTGCTGCTTCAACTGCTTTTTATGTGTACCTCTACTCCATATATTACTATTATGCAAAGACTAGGATGTTTGGTCTTTTCCAGACCAGCGTTTACTTTGGCTACACTCTGATGTTCTGCCTTGGTCTCGGCACACTATGTGGTAAGCTCTCTTAGTTCCATTTAGTTGGTCTGTTGTGCGTTGTGTAGATATGTATATTGCGGTCATACATGCATACGTAGATCTCCAGTTATTTCTCTTCTCTTTTTCCTTTCCCTGAACTCTTTTTCCCTGTCATTAACTCGATTTTTGAAAACTCCAGGTGCTGTAGGGTATCTCGGCTCTAATTTGTTCGTCAGGAGGATTTTCAGCAATATCAAATGTGATTGAATGCCTAATACTGCACAAGAGAGGTTACTCTTTATAGAGTTTTCTGCGTTGAGTTCTACCTATCTCTTGAGAGAGTAGTTGTATGGTCAGTGATTTCCAGCTGATTTCATGGCAATATTGATCATAATTAGATGAAGTTATACATTATATTGACCAGAACTAGCATTTTGTATCTTTTGAGACATTGAGAATCAAATTTCATAAAGCAAACTATTACATGGATAAATTTAAATTGATAACCGTGGTCTTCGGACAACTTGTGTGGACCTCGACTAAGTTTACAGGATACACATGAAAAGAATCACCTAGTGTTTTTTTGTCTCTATTGGGAATTGAACTTGGGTCCTCATGGTAACCTGAGACTACATAGTTCTAACCCTTGAATGAAGATTTTTGGGAAGAGAACCATATCTTCATCTATCTATACAATACTTCAAACAAGTGAGAGTGTGTAAAGAGAAAAGAAAAGAAAACAGACATTTTAATCAACATGTGATATTTTATTGACAAATGTATATTTTTAGCCGCTCCAAAAAATAATATATATTTTTGTGTATACATAAAATATACATATTTTATACGCATTTGGCTAGCGAATGCAATTAGTTTTGGCCGACTGATCAATTTTGTATTTTGCTGTATTTTATTTCTATTTTATTAGTAATCTTCCTGATAACAATAATCAAAATTGAATACTTTTAACTTTGAATCTGGTGAACTACGGGTAGGCGCCATCACAAACAGTGCAGGGATATATTGACGAAGTCTCTCAGTCATTGAATTGTTTTGAGACACAAGTAGTAGCCAAATAAACTAACAAAGCAGCAGCTCAGTCCAAGCACTTATGTTAGACATCTACTAGACGATAATTTTTACATTGAAAAAAAAATATAATTTTCCTTATCTAAGGGCAAAAGCTAAAATGTTGATTCTGTATTCAAAATTATGTTCGATCTCATCCATTTCTTAGCACCCCTAATTCCGATTATTCTGGGAGTCTCCGTGGAATGAGTCTTGGTATCGAGGAACAAAACAAGATCAAACCGTTTCATTTTTAGTAAAAAAAAAAAAAGTAAATAATATTCCATTAGTAATGAAGAAAATGAATGGAGGGGTATCCATATATGTTTTTCAGATCCATTAGAAAGATGCAAAATAGCTAGAACTGAAGGTGGAGGAGTTTATTTTTTCTAAGGAAAGGACTCTTTTAGTTTTATCCCCTTCTATCTATACATAATTGTTTACAATATAGTTGTTGATCACTTCTTGGAGAGTAGTCTTGAACGATCATATTGTTATCGCTTATCTATAGATCAGTCACTCTCATTTAATTTAGTCGATCTTGAGTCCAACTACAACAAGTGTCTTAAACTGAAGACTCTCCTAGTTGATAGGATCCACATGAAAAATAGAAGAAGAAAGTACAATGAAAAATTTGTCAATAATAAAATACAGAAGTATAGTAAAACGGAGCACTCTGAGAAAATTTGATGAAATGTTGAACGTGAATAAGATGAAAATTGAAATGAATGTTTTTTTCTAACTCTAGCGTCGAATGACCTCCCCCCAGTATTTGGTAAAATAATTGAGCTGCTTGCTTCGGCCAAAATTGCATTCTAAGGTTAAGCTGAGTTTGGTTTAGTTCGATTTAGATATGGGCAAGTTGTGTTTGAGCTAACTGGAGATGGATAGATACGCACAACCCTCTTTGTAATAATGATTGAAACTTTTTCACTCTCACTGGCCTATTTCTCCCCTTCCAATGGTTTCCTATATCGATAAAGGTTCAAATAGGCATGCGAATTTGAACGGATTTACCCGTCATTAATACTTTGGTCAAATATGCCTATGTCGTTAATATTTGCTTAAATATGATTTTTAAAAATAGCCAGATTTACAACTGGTCGTTCAAAAATAGCCCAATTTCAAAAGTAATCGAAATTTAGCCACTTTTTATGTAAAGATAAATCTGAGCGAAAACACTGTTCAAAACCCGGAAAATACTCCAGTATATTATGCTGGAGTTCCAGCATAAGTATACTTGAACTCCAGCATATTATACTGGAGTTCCAGGATAGTATAATGGAACTCCAGCATAATATGATGGAGTTCCAGCATAAATACACCAGAACTCCAGCATAATATACTGGAGTTCCAGCAAGTATATATGGTCTAGTATAATATACTGGAGTTTGGAGCACCAGTGCTCCAGTCTCCAGTATATTATACTGGAGCCAGCAAAGTATACCGGTCCAGCATAATATGCTGGAGTTCATACACAAGTGCACCGAACTCCAGTATATTATACTGGACCGGTCTCTATTGCAGCAAAACGGTGACTATTTTTCATTGACTTGGTAAACGCTGGTTATTTTTGATTGACCAGTCCGAAAACTGGCTATACCGTGAAATTTTGGCAATAATTTTTTGTGAAAGCAGTCTAGCCCGAGAATTATCTATATCTATATCTATATCTACCTATCTATATCTATATCTATATCTATCTATCTATCTATCTATCTATCTATCTATCTATTCTATATTATTATAAAAGCACGAATGTTTCGTGCTAAATGTTAAGTGACTTAAATATTCCTAAAATATTGATTGACTTTTATACCCTTAACTATTTATAGTATTAGTTTTGACAAGAAGTTATAATGGAAGGACACAACTGAAAATAGACACGTTAGGATGGAAAGGTGTAGCTGAATAGGGACTTAATAGTGGAAGAAGTAAAATTGTGAATGAATAGGAAAAAATAAATCCTAAAACTAAATATTCTAAACTTTTCTCTAGCTAAACGTGGAACAACTACGTTAAAATTGTAGGAACTTGGTTCAATTGTATATAGTCAAATATTTTGAAAGTATTAAAATTAAAATAATAATTAGTTTATAAAATTGAAGAAAACATTTTAGTTTTCGTTTGGATTCCAACATGTGAAAAACAACGGTTCGACTAATTTTATTTTCTTAATTTTTTTTGAGTTTGTTCCCGAAACTAACAACACATTGTTATTCAAAAGAATTTCTGTACATTTTATACTGTATTTTATTACAAATCCAATATACTTAAACGGTATTGTTTTTGATTTTATTTTTTTAGAAATATGATTTTGACCCTCTTTTCCATGTTCCGGACATTATCTTTTTATTTTTTATTAATAAGAAAACTATATTAATAATTATAAGCTAATATAACTGTAGATCAAGGGAACGACTATAGGATCATATTACAATGCATGATCAAGACTAAATCACATTGGACCGAAAGAATTGAAATTTATTGGGATTAGACTTTAATTATTTATCACATTAATTATTTCACAATGAATAAAATCGTAATACATTAAGACTGTCTAATATTTAATATTTTGAAGTAAACTAGCTAAACATTAAATTCTTTAAACTGAAGCTCTAATTCATATTAATTTACTAACGATGGTAGTTAATTAGATACATTAATTAGTTCATTATGTTACTCTAACAAATGATACTATTAGAATATATATGCGATTGAAATTTTAATATCTTTTGTACAAATTACGTGATACTTGACTTAAGGTATTCGTGCAACGCACGAGCATAGAGACTAGTCTATATTATTATAAAAGCACGAATAGTTTATCCTAAATGTTGAACGACTAAAATATCCCTGAAACATTGATCGACTTTTATGCCCTTAAATATTTGTATAATTTAAGGATCTAATGGTAAATTACCTAATGATAGAATTCTTTTTCGATTTAAACTATACATACCCGACCCTACAACGTTGATCCTGCTTGAATTAGAAAAGTACTGTTCCTAATTACAATTCCTTTATAACAAGGCATGTAATAAAAGAAAGATACGTACTAAAGAAAATTTTAGTACTAAGTTAAAGAAAACATCTATAAAATTTTAAACAAAGTTGAAATTTTTACTATTTTTTAAAGTCTTAAATTGTATTTAGTACATATAAAGCTACAACTAAATTAATTTAGTATCTTTTACCTAAATATTAGGAGTTACTACATATTTCAAACAAATTGAATTAATTTTTAAAATATTAAATAATAAGAAAATAATTAAATGATAATTTTTTAAAATATAAAATATAATATTANTTATAAAATAGTTAAAATGATTTTAAAAATAAATTAAAAGCACTGAACTAATTAATAATGTATAAATATTAATCTAAAAATACTGAAAATGATTTTATGATTGTAAAATGCTGTTAATCGTAATATAGGCTATAATTGCAATTTATGCAATTTAACTTAGAAAATACCAAACAGATTTGTAAAAATATGCAAAAATCACCTTAATAATATCTTGGTGTAAATATGAGAATGGAAATAAATTATTCACCAAAAATGATAATCTGGGAATAATTATTGGATTTTGTACTGCTAAAATAGACAATAAATTGATTTTAATAATCTTAAAAAATTAGGGAAAAAAATACCAAAACTCTTGGGCGTGCTTATATATGCATACTCATACTATTTTGAGAATATTTGAGTATTAAAAATACATAGGGAAAAATTGGGTATTAACAGCTGCCCCTCTTTACCCGAGAAGGATGAAAGAGTTGTCGGGTAAAGATATGATGGCCAATTTTGACCGAAAGAAACGATTTGAAAGGTTTTGACCGAGCTCTGGTCACTAAGCTGCCTACATATCCCTGGTCTTACAGGAATCAGGCCATATGTAGTTCAGGGTCCATTGACGGAATATGCCGATGGAGGTTTTTGAAAAGAACGGACGCGGCATTTAGATTGAGGAAGGTGGTTGAAGTCTGATAGGCTGCGGGGACTGGAGCGGGATCGCTCCTGCTGAGACGGCTGTTGCTAGACGGTGTACCTGCAAGTGAGTAATACCAGCATATATGGTGCGTAAATTTAAACGTGATGCAAGTTCTCATTGGACCATGAATGTCGTCTTTGGACGGTGAGGATGACGTCCTCAGACCATGACCTCCTGGGCCATGAAGCGTATAATTAAGGATTCGTAGGCTATGAATGATGTTCTCGGGCTATGAGAATGATGCCTCCGAACTATGATGCCTTTGAATAATGATATGCAAAAGGTAAAAGTGGGGTCCTCAGGCCATGGCATGGCGTTCTCGGGCTATGAAAATGGTGCCTCGGAACAATGACGCCTTTGGATAACTTGGCGATCTTTCAGCCCATGAAATGCGGGGTTTGGCATTCTTTCAGCCGATGCAAGACTTAAATAAAAAATGGCGATATTCTAGCCGATGTGAAGTGTAAATA